ATCACTCATCTTTCTTCGTTACTGTAAGATTACGGTAGAAACTTCAAAGAGGGTTTTGAACCATGAAAGGCCATATTTTGCCTCAGAAAGGAAACAAAACAGCCTGAAGACTTTTACACCAGGCTAATTAGAATTGCTGATTATAACTGTAAAGTTCCCAACTTATTATGATGCTTCATTGAAGAGTTATGCCAGGTGAGAGGTAGCGGCCTTTTTTTCAATGTTCCTAAAAAGTGCGATTACGCCGTTTAGAAAACTTTGTAATCTTGTGAATAGTTGAGTATTGAACTCAGCGTCTACAAAACCCTATTACACAAGTTCTCACAATTTTTGAAAAATTTTGAAACGGCAGCTTTTTCCACATTGACACCATATGTTTCAAGTTTCTACCGTAATCCTACAGTAATGAAGAGAGATGGGTGATTCGTTCTATAATGGAAATCTAAGTTGAAGCCAGCTCTACAAAACGGTACCTGAAGCAAGGCAAAAGACTTCTTGGGAAGAGAAATATTAACGATCAAACGTTCTAAACATTTTTTTGGGACACCCTGTATGTCCATGAATGTACGGGTGGGGGAACGAAAGCCGCCAGGTCCAGCCGCCTTTCGCGGCCAGCTGGTCCTTTCGCAGCGTTGTTGCATGTCGTTCCAGGACCAGCAGTCCGCGGAGGCGGCTGGACCTGGCGGCTTTCGTTCCCCCACCCTGAATGTACTTATACTTTAGCAAATGTCCTTATCTTGTCCGACACAGACTCCGACACCTTTCTCAATGGTTTTCTATTGATTCTGTTTCTAAAGGTTCGTTGAAAAAAATTGTTTGAGCTCATCCAGCGCGTGGTTGATCTTCTGACGGCGCTCCTTCTCTTTTTCCGTAGAATTTTGCATGCACTAGATTCTGAGAAAGTTTTGTTTGTAGCAAATGCAGGCGTGAATCATTTTGTCGAATATCATACCTCGCTCACACTGGAAAGAGTTCCAAATGCTCGTTTCAATGCCATGCTCAAAGGAAGGGTTGATCCGCTTCGAAAGCATTTCTCGTAACTTATCAAAACGGAATACAGCATGGAGTAATTTGAAAAATTTATTTTACCTGTAAAATGCATCTACCCTTTGTCGTTTGACAATCCCGCAAGTCCCATTTGCATGATACCTCTGAAAGTTACGATAACGTCATTACGACAAATATTATCTAAGAATCCGAAATCCTTTGCATGATCCATGCGCTATATGTGTCTCACTATCTGCGGGGATATAAGACATGTTACCTGGCAAAAAGCTCTTCAGAGAAAATGTTATCCGTTTAAAAATTTCCCAACATTTTCTTACCGCCCATTTGCTTTCTCCTCACAAATCTTCTAAGACCCAGGTCCACGGTTCAGACATCCTATTCCACGCTTGCGCCAAATGGAAGGCACATCCTTGTACATCGGCTTCTCAAAACTTTCCCCTAGCTGAAATTGCTGTAGGAGTACAAAATGAATCTGTCTTTGTAGTCTCCCAGTGCCTCCAAGCTTTCGAAGGTCCTCTTGTATGTTTCTACAGTTCCGCATCGTGTAACTACATAGAGAATTGGCACCAACACAAACACATACTTCTTGTTTTTAAAGTTGTTGTTAGAAAATTTAGAATTTAAACTCCAACCGCGGTCACCTCTACGCCGCTTTGAATAGCTGCAGAAGAACATATAACTGTCGTTATTTATCTGGTTCAGATGTGAAACAATTCAAATCATGAACGGCGTCTTGTACTTAAAACTTAAAATTGGAAAACTAAAGTTTGATCTAAAACCATCTAGTTTTCCTGATTTTTTCTCGTCTATCTAACCACAGTTTGAGCTTCTTAGACTTGATCTGGAAGCATTTTGGATTACATAGGTATAGGGCATTCGAAAAGTCGTGACGATGGCGCGACCGCGCGCGACACGCACCCACTCCCGGCAACCGCATTTTCTTGGTTTCCATCTATGCTCGAATGGTTTTCTGCTTACAAATGATAGTATTTAGACACTGGAAACGGCTGAGTTGAGCTTGAAGTGTTGCCTTTTCGCATGAGTACTTTATTGCCCTGTGGGCGCGAACGATATTAATGACCTATAATGTTGCCAGAAAGAACTGTTCATATGATTGTTTCAAAATTTATAAACATGAATAATTATAATGCCAGTTGATTTTGTCGAGACGCAGACTAATTAGAGTCCGACAGTCCCCTCGCCGACTTGGGCGGTGCCACCAACTTCAGATGAGCTGGCACTCCCCGGGTGCTCGGTGGTCCCCTCCCCAATTATGTTCCCCCATATTTATATTGATGTTATAACGATAAAAGGATCTAGTCAAGAACTGTTATGTTAGAGCAAAGGAAAGAAATTAAGGGTAGAGGGATCAAGTTAAGAGAATAGCTAACTCTTCAGACTTGACATGGAGGTCCCGGGTTTTTCTGAACTTTTGTCGCATAACTTTTTTTACTAAAAAAAAATCTAAGCATAGATTAGGCCAATCTCTGCTGAATACTCTCACCACCGGCACCAGCCCTCATCTCCTACGTGAATTACGTAGCCCTTTTTTATATTTACCCTTTCTTTTCTTTTTTCCCTTGAGTCCAGGCGATGGGTCTGAGTGTGTTTTTTCTTATTTTGTCATATTTTTTTGTGTCATAGTGGGTAATGAATATAATCATGTATTCTTTACCTACTGTGTGTTTGACAGTCTTTTTTTTGTTTCATAGCAGATAATGAATATATTACTATATTGAATATGGTATATGATATTTTTTGTCTGCTGTGATTCCTTACAGTTTTTACCGTGATACCACGTGAAGAACCGTAAATATTTACTCTTTCTTCCTCTAGCCCCCTTTCCCCATCCTATTTATTTAGAAACAAATCTAAAACTTTCTTTTTTTCAAAACATATTTTACTTTGTAACTTCCATATTTTCTCTTTCACAATCTACTTTCCAAAACATGTAAAATTCATTTTCACAACCATTTTTCATCATATTTCGCCTACAACTTTACACATTATTTTCAATCATTTATTTTCTTCTTCCTCGCTTTCCATCGTTATTTTTTACACAAACTCAGGGACTCTATCGCCAACGCCGGCACTGTACATATGTATAAAATTTTTATAATTGTGTTTTCACCATAGCCTTTTCTAATTGCCGCCAGTTCCACAGGCGATCTAGACGCCCGTGGATAGCCCGTAGGCTATGTTGCCTATGGTGATTCCATAGGCTATGTGATAACCCATGGGGTTACCAGAGGCCCTTTTCCCAGTCACGCCGATTCAGAGCGTCATTATCTAATCTTGAGTGGCATATAGACGCCAGGAGCGTCCTAAGCTTGGCGAAATTTGTTTCAAGCAGTAATGCAATACTGCCTAGTTGTGCTTAGGTCAGTCTCACCTAATTACTTATTTATAAAAAATGCAGCTCTGGACTAGATGATTCTCGACTACTGAAGCGAGTTGGATATTTACTGATCATCTTTATCCAACTTTGTCACAGAGGTATTCATTTATTAGCTTTCAGTGTTTTATTATCATTGTGTGTTCATACAATTCTGTGCAGTTCTGTTATCCACTCTAACCAAAAACAAAAAAAAAATCATTCGTGTTCATGGTTGCAAAACAGATTTCCAGAAAAGGTTCCAGCCCTATCCCAGACGTTCAGAGCGTTTGAGACTAAGGATGGAATGATTCTCGCTAGAGAACATGAGGTGTCAATAGCAAAATTATCATCTTTTATTTACGCAGCAGCTATTGGCACGTGTGAGTTTGCCCGCAAGCCATCGCACTATAAAAAGGAAGACTTCTCTGATTGGCGGCTCGGAGAAGGCTTTCAGTCAATCACTTTTCATCCACGCCCTTGTAATCAACGTTAGGGAAGTGTTCCCTCCTGAGTTGCTTGCAAGTTATTAAAAATTTGTGAAATTATTGTAGAATTATGTGTCCATATCACAACTTATCATGCTCTGTAACGACAAATGTTCGGAATATAGATTCCGCTCCTTCGTCGTCTTCAAACATAATTCATTTTGCTATTTGCTGTCAATTTATGTATTATTCCATGCGTATTCCATGCTCGTAATCTCATTTTCTACAGCACTGCTCATTATTTCTTTACGAATGTCATCATATTCCCGTATGTCACATTTCATCACCAGAGCGGCCTATATCCGCTTCCCTATACCCCATGTCATATTTTACCACCATGCGGAAGTCTTTATCCGCCTCCCCAAATGACTGCGGAAGCCCTTCATCCGTACCCCAGTTGCTCATCGTTCAAACTTCATGTTGCTTCATTTATCCCAGCTCGAGACGAGCTCATTCTTCTGACGGGGCGTGCGAAAGCGTGCCTTCTCATCCCTTTTCCCCCTGTCCTTGTGAAGAAAAATCTAGCGATTAACGCCTGAAGCAAGTCTGCCCTCAACCAAAGCAGCAAATGGTAAATGGGCAACATCAACTACACGTATGGGCAACGTCAACTGTACATATGGGCAACGTCCAACTCAATGATGACATCGCAACCATGCATATGGGCAACTCCCCAGCGAAGCCACTGATGACAACTCAATAACCATGGCCAACCTCAAAAGCTCGAGGACGAGCTTTGCCATGGAACGGACATGTCGAGACGCAGACTAATTAGAGTCCGACAGTCCCCTCGCCGACTTGGGCGGTGCCACCAACTTCAGATGAGCTGGCACTCCCCGGGTGCTCGGTGGTCCCCTCCCCAATTATGTTCCCCCATATTTATATTGATGTTATAACGATAAAAGGATCTAGTCAAGAACTGTTATGTTAGAGCAAAGGAAAGAAATTAAGGGTAGAGGGATCAAGTTAAGAGAATAGCTAACTCTTCAACTTGACAATTTGAAGGTCTTCTTGACATGGAGTATAATAGGCCGTCTTCTCTGTGAGGTTGTCTGCGTTACACCAGTGTTTTTTTCCACGTCAATTTAATGTTGTTCGCCGCACCCGAGATTGCCATCCCCGACATCGCGTACTCATTGATTGTGCAATTTTTCCTCGGAACATTGTGACTTCCTTCTTAGGTCTCTAAATTCTAAGGGTGCTCTAAACAGGCTTTACGAGAAGAAATCCCCGTTGGCCGTCTTTTTCGCTTGCATATGCATATCTCATACCGTGTTTTTCTAGTGCTAATGGTACGTATCTGAAGATGTTTTCGCCTCATCAAATTGCGTTTTCCACTGAGATCGATACGATAGGGCGGTGGTCTTAGTCATTCTCATTATACATCTATTTCAGGTGTTTTCTCCCATCTTGTCTTCTCAGTGCTCCTGTTTCGAATGGGCTTGCTGAAAATCCTTTTTTTAGTTTTGTTGCAGTTCTGTATAAAATTTCGAGCTTATAGAAATGTCGATTTAAATAAGTGGTTGAAATACATTCGGAAGTCATGTACAGCTACTTCGAATTCGGGTATAGACTCAGTTTGCTTCTCGATATTTTGTAAATAATGGAAAGTTGTGCAAGATTTTCTGCGCACATAATGATTGATCGCCCACTCTCTATTACGAAATCATTGCGAATAACCACAACGACGAAGTGTACTGTATTACATTTTGGGCTGACTGTCAGATGGCTCGATTTTTTTCCTTATCCAAAACTAGAAAAATGGCGGGCATCGCGACTAGCTTGCTTTTTATCAGCTGTTGCTTTCATCTTTGCTATAATTCGAGAATATTGACGAAATGGCATCAGCTGCGTTTCCAAGACTTTGAATCGTATATCGGTTTTCTTTCTGTATCAAAATTGTGAAGTCGGATTTCTCCTTGATTATAGAAAGCTGAAAGTTTTTTTTGCTGCTAAGAAAACAGTGTGTACGCAACTATCGATCGATTTGGGACAGCAGAAAGTTGCGTTATATGGTTTACAAAACACTTGTCCGATTTTGTCATAAGTGGCAGACGCGAAAATTGTCATATTCAGAGCCTGTCAAATTTTTTGAATTTACGAAGATGCAATCCCATATCCTCTTTCCTCTCCCATCCTTCTAGTATAATATTAATGTGGGCGAGCAACATGGGTTTAACCTTACAATTTGTAAGAAGCATGCATATCAATCGCATTTTTAAAGAGAAAAACGAGGGATAACGATGTTCGACAACAAGGAAGTGGAAATCTGGCATTGCATCCGGGCTTGTTTGCCTCGGCAAAGCTCGATTTGTTTATTTGCTTTTTTACCGCTCACCACCTGCACTGCAGGGGCTGCAGCAATATGGCCTTTCCTTATCTCTTCTCAAATCAGTCTTCGTTTTTCGCCGATCATGACTCGAAATCTTGTAAAAAATGTTACAAAAACACTGAAGACAGCTTTTCCCTGGAAACCATTTGATCTTACTAAAGATAAGAACCTGATCTGTGTCTCATTTCCGCTCCCATGCGAATCAGCTGGTTCCACTATTGAAAGCATGATGGCGTCGGCACTGTAAACAGTTCGTTCATTCGTTCATATGCCCTAATTCGCTCTCATCAATAACATGGATAGGGAGTGCGGCGTCGATTTTCGCTTGCCCAGCTCTCTGCAAAATTTATAATGTTATTGACCATAGTGCAACATTTTGCAAGAAGTCTCACATCTTCTGCAGCAAACGCATTCTTTCTAAATGCCTCTTGATCGTATTGGTATCTGTTGTTGCGCTTTTTGCAATCAAAGTAACAAAACAAACATACAACATTATTCGTTTAGATGACCGAAGTAAAAACCGATACCCCGACTGTTACGGAGGAACCTGGAAAAGATGGCAAAGCAGCAGAAGTCTCAAAAATAGCGAGTGAGGAGGAAACGCTACCCAGTATGAATCCACTTCCCGCTGCTTGGATCTCCACTGGAGCGTCGTGGTTCAACTCCGCTAAGGAAAAGGTTAGGATTTGATTGCTTATATATCAAGGGACCATTAATCAGAGTATAGCTTCAAAGTAGAGAATCAGGTTTACTGAATGCTTTTCAGCTGGGAATGTAAAATTTCGCTTGGCAAATTGGGTTTGACTAAGTCGTGCATTAAAACTTTAGAAAATTTGTTAGTCAGTAGTATTTGATATGGGATGGAGGACTATATGTCGCCGACTTTGAAAGAGTCCCGCGCGGATTTCCTGCAAGAACGCATGTCCGCGCATGTATAAGGGTGCGTATTTGTCGCAAATGACCGCGGGGACCGCCCTTTTTCGGCGACATATAGTCCTCCACCCTTTGATATGAAATGAGTTAGAGATAAGAATCGAAATAAGAATGAGAAAAATATAAAAAATTAATGGGCTATTTAGCAGCGCTCGAAGGTAAAACAATTGTTGTCACATCGCAGCAGTGAAAGCTACCAAAAACAAAATTTTTTGATTTTTATTCGCTATATATGGTAAGTCGTTCGACAATTTCCAGTTTTATTTCTTGTTAGGGCTGTGACCTACCTTCTCCAATTGGAGTAATTTTTTACCTTTTAGATGTCGAATAAATTTTCGAATTTATTCTTTCATAGTTTGGTTTATTCAGGATAGAATTCGTGATGAATATAATGAAATACTACATCAAAGTATACAACGAGATAAGTACTCCGCAAATCGAAGCGGTTACTCGGACTTTTTGGACAAATTTTTCAGGATTTTCGGACAGACTATGCACTATGCTCCTTATCCAAAGCAAATACGAAAATTGCATTTTATTTTTTTAGGACTAAGCTAAAAATGTGTAAGGTCAAAATCATTTCGCTTAAAAATTGCGAAGTGAAAGTAAAAAGCCTTTCACGGTAATCCTGCTTCTACACTAGCACCCGGTGCAGGCTATAGGTAAATT